CCTGGTCCGGAGGCCCGCGCGCTCCAGGCCGGGGAGCGGGGTGGGCGGCGGCCCGCCGGTGGCCGCGGCGTACTTGGCGCGCAGGCTGTACTGCTGCGCGGGCGTGAGGCTGAGCGGCCCCGAGCCGCCGCCGCTGCACTGGCTGGCCTCGCTGGAGCGCCGCGACGCGTCGGTGGAGATCGGGTCGTAGGAGTCGGCCGAGCTGGCGTTGTGCGGGCGGCCGGCGCCCAGGGGCGAGGCCTCGCTGGAGCGGCGGCTGGAGAAGTAGGGGGAGATGCCGGAGGAGCGGCGGCTCACGGTGTAGGCGGAGCTGACCGTGCTGGTGGAGCTGTCGCGGCGCTCCTGCAGGTGGCTCAGCATGGTCACCTCGCCCGCGGACAGCTCGGACAGCCGCGGGTTGGGCAGCAGCCCGCTCGGCCCGCCGCCGCCGAGGTTTTCCAGGATGGAGCCTGCGGGAAAGGAGAGCGGTCAGTGCCCAGGGAGGCGGGGGTGGGGGTGGGGGGCGGGGCGGGGGCGGGGGGTGGGGGCGCGGGGCCTCTCCATCTTTGCCCCAGCCGAGTGTGCCCGGCCACACAGCAGGCGCTCAACCAATGAGGCTGGATTGGGATCTTAGCTACCACTGGCTGGCTGGCCCTGGATTCTGATGTCTGATCCTTAGTTTCTCCACCTGTAGACAGAACGTGCCTCTCCATAGGAGGAGGTTATTGAGAGGAGTGTGTGTGTGTGTGTGTGTGTGTGTGTGTATGTGTGTGTGTGGGGGAGAGCCCAGAGGGCCCTGGCCACAGCCTGGCTGCACCTTCACCTTCTGTGTTTGGGGGTAGCCAGGTGGGCTCCCTAGGGGCTGGGTTTACTGGGCAGGCTGCTTAGCCAGCCCCCTGAGATCCACACCCATGGAAGACAGCAAAGGCCCCATAGCGCGCAGGGAGAAGTGTGTGGTGACGCAGGCCCAATGACAGCTGATGTCACAGGGGGCTCTGAGCCTTGAACGGCCTGACACTCCTGCAGGGATCAGTCACTGGATGGGGGCCACCCCAGGAAGGGGTGACCTTGGGTAAGGCAGCTGTCTGCCACCCAGGCGATTTCTGTATGAGGCTGACAGTTGAAGGCCTTTCACCAGCAGGTCCCTCAACAGCTGGGGCAACAAATCCTCCTTGCAAGCAAAAGCTGGCGCCTCTCAGTGTCCACCACACTGGCTGTCCGTCCCTGGGAGGGCACACTGCCTGGCACAGAGTCAGCGCTCAGGAAATGCCCCCGAAGACGCTTTGCATGTCAGAGCCTGGTCAATGCCTCCTGAGGCTGTCTTCTCCATGAAGTCCTCTGTGCTCTTCCTCAGCTGACCTGCTGTCTCCCTCCTCTGCACAGCTCCACCCTGAGCTCTGTCGTCGCTTCCTGGCTCCTTCCCCGTCAAGTGCGCATCTCATGGCATGGCCCTCCGACCATAGGCTCCTTCTGACCACAGGGACTGGGGGTGTATTGCTCTCCTCCTTAGAGCCTTGGCCGTGGTGCTCTCGGCAGATGCATGGCCCGGGCTGTCGCAGCTCTGCCGTTGGTCTGTTTAGGGCACTTTGACCTCTCTGAGCCTCACCTTCCTCATCTGTGCAATGGGCTGCTAAAAGCCATCCTACTGTGGGCATCTGGTGCCATGGCAGGTGGCATTCGATGGTTAACCTAGTGGGTGCTCGCCCCAGGCTCTCCCCTGCCCCTACCCACGCACCCGGGGCCTCCACTCACCACTTCCCGGGAGGGGAGGCAGTTTGGTGTTCCGGGTGTGTGGAGCCGGCCCGGCCCAGGAGCAGGAATCCTTCAGTGACTTGAGCTTCTCCTTCTTGAGCTGCTCGAACCGGTGCATGGCGGTCATGTGTTTGCGCAGCTGCAGGCCACCAGCAGAGGGAGCGGCCAGGGCTGAGGCGTCGGCCCCCGGGGGCGTGTCATCCAGAGCTGTCAGGTCTCCCAGGCTCCCGGGCCCAGTCCCTGGCATCTCCACGCCGCTGTCGTTGTTGGGGGCACTGCCCAGGGGAGAGGGCTCGCTGCTGCAGGACGACTGGGCCCCAGGGCTGGACTGACACAGCTATAGGGGCGTGGCGAGAGGGCACAGGCTCAGAGGGTGCGAGAGCCCGCCGGGCCCTTACACACCCAGGAAGGAAGCTGCCACGTGGAGGAGCTTCCAAGCATCATTCTGTTTGGCCACCTCACTTCTCTGAGCCTCAGCTTCCCCAGCTGTAAGATGGACCTGTGCTGCCTCTGGGACAGGGTCGGTGGCTGGACGGCAAGCATCCGGTTCACAGGAGGCACCAGTAATGGACAGCTCCCCGTTCCCCTGCCTCGTGCTCCTCTGTTCTCCTAGCCAGCATCCGGGCGAGACCTCTGCATGTGGGGCTTTCAACGTATGGGCACTTGGAAGCTGTCCCCCACAGAGGCTGCCACGGCTGCATGAAGATGACCTCAAGGGGGGTACTTAATGTGCCCAACGACAGGGAGGTGCCGTATGATGTAGCAAGGAACGGCAGAGGCCCGCTGACCTGCTGCTTTCTCAACAGGCCAGACGCAGGTTGTTGGAAAGGGCAAGGAAGACCAGGGAAGGTGGACCTCCTGGATCCAGGCCCTTGCCCGAACGGCCACCCCAAACTAGCCAATGCGGAGTGGGGCAGAGAGCTCATAGCCCACGTGTACAATGCAGGACTCCATAGAGCCTGAGCTACCTTCACTGGGACTTGGGATCTGAGCCCGGCCGAGGCTCACTTTAGATGTAGCACCTCTGGGCTCATTCCTAGGCCAACAGCCCGAAAATTCCAGATTTTTCCTTGGGAAGCTACAGTGCTCCCTTTTGCCCACAGCACGACCCACATTTTTCATGTTGGCATTCAAGATCCATTGTCAGCTGGTCCCTCCCTCCTCTGTGGCCTGAACTCACACCCCCACTCGGCCCTGTCCCTCCTGGAGGGTGGGCCCCACGGTTTGCTCCTATACCTGCCAGCTTGACTTCTGCTGCCAGCCTCTATCTGTCCCCAGGGTTCCACCTGCATTGCTTGGTGTCTACCTGTCCAAACCCACCTTGCCAGGCTCCTGAGGGGCCTGGACCGACAAGTCAGTCCATGCCTAGGCATTAGCCCTGGACAAGCACCCCAGCCCGCCCGCATCGCGCCAGCCCGCCCGCACCCCCACCAGGCTTCTCTGCTCACCTCAGTACCGTCTATCCTTAGGGGAGGTACAGTCGAGAAAAAGAGGTGGAGACAAAGAACAGGTGGTTAGAACAAAAGGAGTGGAGGCCACGGGGGCAAGGACGCAGAGACAGGACAGAAGGGAGGGGACCGACCGTGGCGCAAATGGTGCCGGTCGGCAAGGCAGACCCCAGGAACCGCCCGCAGAATGACCACTTGGGGGGCAGGCATCCCCGCTGCCCGTGGCCCTGCCCAGCAGCATGGGACGTGGCACAAGACAGGTTCTACGAGAGGCCCAAGGTAGTGAAGGGAGGAAAAGTGGAGCTGGAGAGAGGAGGATGTACGTCATCGCGCACTTAGAGCGGGGGACCCCGACACAGACCCCACGCGGCAGCTGGGGCTCTGGGCCCTCGTGCTGCTGGGCCGGACCTCCTGGGGGTGGGTGGGAGGCATGGACTGGGGCCTCCACTGCCCAGCTCTGCTTACCCCGGAGCTCTCGGTCTTGATGGCTTTGATGTGCAGGCAGTCTTCCACGGCCTGGCCGGTGCTGCTGGCCTCGGCACTCTCCTCCGGGCCTCGGCCCCCGGGCTCGGCACTGGCCTCGTGGTCCCCGTTCTCCTTGAGCAGCGGGGCGCGGAGGTGCACGTCGTTACGCTGCTTCTTGGTGACGTGAGCATCTGGGCCGTGTACCGTCTTCACATGCTTCCGGAGAGAGCTGGGGTCTGTGTATCGCTTGGTGCAGCCTGGGATCTTGCAGATGTAGGGTTTCTGGGAAGAGAAGAAGGAGGCCTGTGTTATGCATGGGACGTAAAGACAGACTGTGAGAGGGAGCGCTCCCCAGTCTGCTGAAGCCATGTCATGTCCTTTGGCAGAGCCCGGCCGGCAGTCGGAAGGTGCTCGAGCTCATCTACAGCCAGTGTGCCCGGAGGGAGCCATGCCAGCCCCGGGCCTGCAGGAGCGTGGCCCCTCTGGTCTCATCTGCCGTCTTTTCATGCGGGTAAGCACATGGTTGAGGAAGCCCTCATCACTAGCTAGGGACCCAGATCAGAGACAACGGAAGGAGTGGGGACACAGAGTGTGGTGGGCCTGCTGCCTCCCCTGTCATCAGGGCACTGGGATGTTTTCGTGTTGCTCTGTGACACCTGCGAGACAGCATTTAACACCCCGGTTTTTCTGGTGAGGAAAGTCAGGTTCACAGAGGCAAAGAAACGGGCTCGAAGTCACTTAGGAACGGGACGAAAACCCAGGGTTTTGAACCTCAGTCCTGAGCTCACACACACACGCACACCTATATACCCCATACCCGCGTGTAGGCACTCCCCCATACCCACACACACACGTACACACATGCTCACACATGTCCGTGCAGACTCACACTCAAACACACACGCACACACATATGCACATGTACATCAACATCCACACGCACACACATCCTACAAATCCACGTCCACAAAAGACCCATATAATACACACACGCACGCACACACACACACACACACGCACACACCCCTTGCCGAGGTGAGCTGTTGTCTGCAGAGGCCCTACGGGGTTTAGATTCCTTTGGGAATTCCTCTGATTTCTTGCAAGCGTTGGAGGAAATCCCTTTGGGGTCCAAAATGTATCTAAGCTTTTAGAAATGTTCCTTCCCGAGTCTACCTGAGCAAAAGCAGTTGGGCGGCTGGGCTCGGACTGGGAGGCAGTACAGCAGACTGCTCTCCCTGGGCTCTCTCAGCCCTGCCAGGGGCTCTGGCTAGCTGGGGAGACAAAGGCCGCCCTGTGCCCCATCCGTAGGGGGCCGACAGCTACGGCAGGTCAGACGGCATTAGCCGCGACAGCACGTCGCTGCCAGCTGCCCAGGGGCCTGCCGACGTGTGCTGAGCTCAGACCGCAGGTCAGGGAGGAGGGGAGGGGCATCAGGCACCTGGCCACCTGATGGCCTACAGAAGTCTAGAAGGCACGCATCTACTCGAGTGTCAGCGGGGCCCCACGCACACGTGCCGTGCACACCCTGGCCGGCGTACCTCATTGGAGTGGGTGCGGTTCTGGTGCTTGGCGCGGTCTGAGGCATTGGAGAAGGCCTTGTTGCAACCCTCGTGCTCACACACATATGGTTTCTCCCCAGTGTGGGACCGCAGGTGCGTCTTCAGGTTCTCCAGGCGGGAGTAGGCCTTTGAGCAGCCCTCGAACTGGGAAGAGGTGGCTTGGGTCAGCGAGGGGTGCCCCAGATCCAACGTAGGGCTGGCCCACTGCCTCCTCCCCAGGCCCCCTCATCTGCTGTACCCCCCCCCCCCGCCCCGGGGCACCCAGGAGTATGCATTTTAACAGAAATGTCCACCTTGCTTTCAGATTCTAAAATGACATCGGGCCACTGTAGAAAACTCGGAAAAGACGGAAAAGTGCAAAAAGAGAAAGGAAAGGATGTGCCCGAGGACAACCACTGCCAACATGGAAATAAGTCTCTTTCTGGGGACTTTGTGGCTCATCCCCGGTTTTAAGTTTATTTATTTATTTTGAGAGAGAGAGTGAGAGAGAGTGAGAGAGTGGTGGAGGGGAGGGAGAAAGAGAGAGAATCAGATGCAGACTCCATACTGTCAGCACAGAGTCCAGTGAGGGGCTCCAACTCACTAACTGTGAGATCATGACCCGAGCGGAAGTCGAGAGTTGGATGTTTAACCAACTGAGCCACCCAGGCACACCCATCCTCATGTTTTTTATTTATTATTATTTTTTTATTTTGAGAGAGAGAGAGAGAGAGAGAGAGAGAGAGAATGGGAGAGGGTCAGAGAGAGAGAATCCCAAGCAGGTTCTGTGATGTCCGCGCAGAGCCCAGTGCAGGGCTCAGTCTCACGAACCATGAGATTATGACCTGAGCTGAAATCGAGTTGAATGCTTAACTGACTGAGCCACCCAGGCAGCCCTTATCCCCACGTTTTAAAGCCAAACTGGGAACACAGCAAGTATTTAGTTACATACTCCATTTGTTAAAATCAACGACACATGGTGAGAATCATCCCATATCATTAAAAACTCTTCGGAAATGTTATTTTAAACTGTTTCCAGGGGCACCAAAGCTCTAACCCCCGGTCAGAACTTTGGTGTGCATTAAAATGTGCTGAGAATGAAATCCAGTTTTCTCCGTGTCCTTGAGTGAGCTGGCCGCCCTCACACTTGCTATGGCCATGCTGGTCCCCATTCAGTTCCTTGACCCCACCAAGTTCTTCCCAGCACGGGGCCTTTGCACGCACTGTCCCCCTCTGGCTGGAACCTCACCCCGGCCCTGGCCTGGCTCACTCCCTCTCAATCTCTTAGGTCATTTCCTCTGAGAGCATTTCTCTGATATTCTTAATCATAACACTACCGTTTTCCCTTTATACTGCCTACCACAATTTATAATTATCTTCACCATTTTATTATCTGGCCTTCCCACCACGATGCAAGCTGGAAGAGAGCAGGTATCATCTAGATCTTGTTCATTTTTGTGTTCCTAGTATTTAGTGTCTATGAAAAAATCCATTTTCGGCACTCAAGAAACATTAAAAAAATTTTTCTTGTACCCGTTTATTCATCTTTGAAAGACAGAGAGCGACACAGCATGAGCAGGGAAGAGGCAGAGAGAGAGAGACACACAGACTCGGAAGCAGGCTCCAGGTTCTGAGGTGTCAGCACAGAGCCCGACGCGGGGCTTGAACTCACGAACTGCGAGACCATGACCCGAACCGAAGTCGAACGCTCAACCGACTGAACCACCCAGGCGCCTCAAGAAACATGTTTGAAAAGGAAGGAAGGAGGGAGCACGAGAGTGTGACTGAGACAGAGGGAGGGAGGGAAGGAGGAAGGAGGGACGGATCATCATGGGGGGTTCTGCACCTATTCCCAAGATACTGCACCCAAGATACTGCATAGGCATCTACTGTGCCTATGAAAACTGCCCTCAGCATGACACGGAAACCCCAGCAGGAACTCTCACACGCTTCACATCCTTGCCTTTATTCCTCACCAGTCTGACTGAGTACATTGGGCTCCAAATGCCTTTGATCTGTTTCTACAACTCGCAGCTCGTACCACAGGGCTATGGCGTGCTACCACTTAGCATGTTACGAAAACAACTTGCCACAAAGGGCCGGGAAGAGCAAAAATAATTTTGCAAAAGGAGGACAAATCTGGAGGACTGACACTTCCCAATGTCAAAATTCACTGCATTACTATCATAAGGGCAGACGGAGGGATCAACGTAATAGAAGAAACGAGAGTTTAGAAATAAACTCATATATTAGCATCAGGTGATTTTTGACAAAGGGCCATTCAATGGGGAAAGAAGAGTGTCTTCAACAAACGGGATCAGGACAACTGGACAGCCACATGCAAAAAGAATGAAGTTGGACCCCTACCTCATACCATATGCCCAGACTCAAAATACATTAAAGACCTAAAGGGTAGAGGTTCCCTATAAAACTATATACAGATTTATATAAATAAGACTATGCATTTATAAACAATAAAACTCACAGAAGAAAACATAGGGGTAAATCTTTGTGACCTTGGATTAGGCAATGGTTTCTTTGACATGACACCAAAAGCTCAAGCAGTTAAAAAAGTGGACTTTATCAAAATTAAAAACTTTGGTGCTTCAAAGGAAACGATCAAGAAAATGAAAAGAAAAACCCCCAGGGGGGAGAAAATGCTGACAAATCATATATATGATGAGGGTTTAGAACTACTGCAACTCAACAGTAGAGACAAATAAACCAGCTTGAAAATGGGCAAAATATGTGAGTAGACATTTCTCCAGAGATGATATACAAATGATCACTAAGCACACGAAGAGATGCTCAACATCATCAATCATTAAGGAAATGCTAATCAAAACCACAGTGAGATGCCCTTTCACATCCGCCAAGATGACTGTCATTAAAAGAGAGGTTAGCCAGTGTTGGGAACGACGTGAAGAAATCAGCACCTTCACATATTGCTGGTGGGAATGTAAAACAGCGCAGCCTTTTTGGAAATGGGTCTGGCTGGTACTCTAGGTACATACACAAGAGAATTAAAAACACAGGTCCGCACAAAAACATGTACACTAACGTTCGTAGTTGTACTTGTGCTAACAGCCGAAAAGTGAAAACATTGCAAATATCCATCAACTGATGAATGGATCAAAATACTAGGATCTATCCATACAATGGACAGTCGTTTAGCCATAAAAGGAATGAGGTATTGGGGCGCCTGGGTGGCTCAGTCCGTTAAGCTTTCAACTCTTGGTTTTGGCTCAGGTCACGATCTCACGGTTCTTGGGTTCTAGCCCCACATTGGGCTCCGCGCTGCTGGTGTGGAGCCTGCTTGGAATTCTGTCTATTTCCCTCTCTCTTTGCCCCTCCTCCACGCTCTCTCTCAAAATAAATAAATAAGCTAAAAAAAAAAAAAAAAAAGAATGAGGTATTGAACATGCTACAACATGGATGAATCTTGAAAACATGCTGAGTGAGCAAAGCCAGACACAAACACTACCCATTGTATGATTCCGTTTGTATGAACTGTCTGGAGCAGGCAATTCACAGAGATGGGGAAGTAGATTAGTGGTTGTCAGGGAATGGGGGAGGGGTGGGGAAGAGAATGGGGAGTGACTGCAAACAGGCATGGGGTTTCTTTTTGGGGGTGATGACGATGTTCTGAAATCAGCTAGTGGTGATGGCTGTACAACTTTGTGAACATACTAAAAATCACTGAATTGTGTGTATGTATATATATATATATAATTTATTTATTTATTTATTTATTTTTAATTTTTTTTTTAACGTTTATTTATTTTTGAGACGGAGAGAGACAGAGCATGAACAGGGGAGGGGCAGAGAGAGAGGGAGACGCAGAATCCGGAGCAGGCTCCAGGCTCTGAGCTGTCAGCACAGAGCCCGACGCGGGGCTCGAACTCACGGACCGCGAGATCATGACCTGAGCCGAAGTCGGACGCTTAACCGACCGAGCCACCCAGGCGCCCCTTTATTTATTTTTTTAATGTTTATTTATTTTTGAGAGATAGAGAGACAGAGACAGAGCGTGAATGGGGGCGGGGCAGAGAGAGGGAGACACAGAATCCAAAGCAGGCTTCAGGCTCTGAGCTGTCAGCACAGAGCCCGATGTGGGGTTCAAACCCATGGACCGTGCAAGATCATGACCTGAGCCAAAGTCGGACACTGAACCGAGCGAACCACCCAGGCGCCTCTGAATTGTATTATTTTTTTAAAAGGGTGAACTTTATGGCATGTGAATTTTTATCCCAATTAAAAAAAGAAGTTAGCAACAAAGATAGTATATTTCATTGAATCCTGGCTACCACCTATTTTAAGACAGCCTGATTTCAGGGATATTAAAATATATGATATTATATTAATATAATATTAAATGTCTATCTCAGAATTATGAAATACGGTGATTCACGGAGAGGAGTTCCCAGAGGCTTCAGTTGCAACCACATCAGTACATCACTGGACCAACGGCCTTTTTATTTTTTATTTATTTAAAACATGTTTTTTAATGTTTAGCTTTGGGAGAGAGAGAGAGGCAGAGAGAGCGAGAGACACAGAATCCCAAGCAGGCTCCAGGCTCTGAGCTGTCAGCACTGAGCCCCACAAGGGGGTCGAACTCACGAACCGGGAGATCATGACCTGAGCCAAAGTCAGAGGCTTAACCGACTGAGCCCCCCAGGCGTCCCCCTTTGGCTCTTTTAGAGAGGGAGCAACTGTGTGGCAAAAAAAGGTCTCACCAATCATAGTCACAAATTCTGTTCACTCCATAAAGGAAACTGTCTAAAAGGTCTTTGTGTTCATTTTGTTCACTTAAAAGAAATTAAAAAAAAAAAAAAAAAAAAAAAAAATTACCCCAAAAGTGTTTTTGCTCAAGCTGTGAAACCACCAGTGAAACTTTTCTCTGTGCAGGGGTGGGGGATGGGGGTGGGGGGGGCAGACCCCAGGGTGCTGCTAAGGGGGCTCCTGTGTCTGGGGTCTGCCAGCCGCGTGAACTGTGGGGGTGCAGCCGTACCCCGGGGCCCAGGGTCACACGGACACAGGTAGGGAACACCGGCACACCCCCCCCACTGCGGTGGCCGAGAGGCACACACCCAGGGGCGGAGCCTCAAGAACCCCAGCCCGCCGGAAGGCGCAGGGCAGGAGCGCACAGGACAGACAACATGCTGGAAGGCTGGGTCCCCGTGATGCTGCCCGTGGCCTGTTCAACCCAAGTACACCTGTGGTCAGCCACGTCCAACCCAGCCCCATCATGCGCGAGACGCGGCAGGGAGGAGGGGCCACTCACCGTGCACTTGTGGGGCTTCTCGCCCGTGTGCCGGCGCATGTGCACCACCAGCATGTACTGGGCCTTGAAGGGCTTCTGCTCCCTCGTGCAGGCCTGCCAGCGGCACACGAACTCCTTTTTCTCCCCATGGATGTGCTCGTTGTTGATGTGCTGCGGGAGCAAGCCCATAGGGAGGGGTGAGCCCAGCCACCCACCCCTGCGGACCCCACCTACAAGGCGCAGACGCCCCACCCAGCAAGACCACCCCCTAGGCGCCAGGCCACGCCTCCTCAGGAGTTCTCATTAGCTGCCATTAACCCAAGATCCACTGGGTGATCTCCTTGTCTCGCTGCATTTCCCAATTCTCTGTCCTCAAAGTGACCACCTATGACGGGCAAAGTCATCCCGCTCACCCCAGGCTGGGCTCTAGGCTCCGGTGGTTATGATGATGCTCCTGGGCTGCAAACAGTAGGCACTAAATAACTGTAGTGAGGCAGTCGTGCACTGTGGTTGGTGCACGAGATGCTTCTCCCAAGCTTGCTCCTATTGTCCCAGGAATTTTTAAATACGCTTTTTTATTCCAATGGAAACATCAATGCATCCTCACCTCTGTCTTTGACAGTAACCTGTGAGATGATGGCTCTGCCCCTTTTGGCCAAGGCCCAGATGGTTCTGTGGCCTCTGCAGGGCCCAGGCAGCAAGGGTGGGTGGAGCTCGATGGGGACCCTGACGGTGGGCTCTGGGCACTGTGTGATGCCGCCCCTGGGACAAAATGCACGGACAGCACGACTGATCTGGAGGTATGGCAAGGGGGAGCCCTGCATCCCAGGGTAGGCGGAGCCAGCAAGCTGCCCTGAGTTGACCCTTTGGATTTTAGTGGTTTGCTTTGATTATTTAACTGAAGGCTGCAGGACTCACTGGAGCAGGGGTATTATTGCCTCTCGGCTTAGGATGTGTGGATATGTGTGGGGCCTCCAGACTTTTATGTCCTTAATCTTCGAGGTGGCTTATTTATCTTGGGGAGTGAAAAAAGGTGGTATAAGTCACTCACACAGTAGTCTGAAAAAGTGTACTGGACCTTGCGTGCTTCCTCTTGCTCTAGGGCTTTTCTCTAAAGGCCACTGGGGAGCCTCCTTGCACCCCCCCCCCCCATCAAGGTCATGTCCTGTCTGTGTGCGGATAGGGCTGGGCTTGCTTCCCCCAAGGGGGACGGGGAGGGTGAGACACTCAGATCTCAGGGGCCTGTTCTCTCTAGCCCCAGTGCCTTTCCCCTCTCTTTTCTTGGCTCGTCTTCCAGCCGTCACTGCCTCCCACACACCACAACCTCCAATGCAGCAGCCATTAGCCACCTATGGCTCTTGAGCCCTTCAAATGTGGCTGGTTCCACCGGGGATGGGCTGTTTCAAAGATGGAGAATAAAAAAATAATAATAAGGATGTAAATAAAATATCCCACTAATTTTTGTTTATATTGATGACACACCAAAATGATAATCTTTCAGATACATTGGGTTAAGTAAAATATATTATTCAAATGAACTTCACCTGTTTCCTTCTACTCTTTTTAAACAGTGTGCTCCCAGGTTCACATAAAATTATGTGCGTGATGGACATTTGTGGTTGGCAGCGTCTTTCTGTCGGACCGTGCTGCTGCAGGTCTTTGCAACCTCTGGGGCTGTCCGAGAACTGAGCATGTGGGCCCTGGCAGCACCTGACCCGGAGAAGACAGAAAAGCGCCGGGCCCACACGCCCCCGAGAAACAGGCCCGACCATCATGCATACAAATGCCCATGTTGGAACAAGTAAAATCTACAGCGCTTTGAACTTCCAGGGAAATCTTATCATATTAGCCTCACTTTCCATTTTTAAAGCCTCTCAAATGATAAAAATGCTTCCTGACAATGCCTTTCATTTTTTTCTTATTGGTTTACTTAGCAACAAATTGTTAATAATCGACTGGGGGCTCCAGCTCGCCCGTGTGCCTGCCACCATCCATCTTCCCAGGGAGCGGAGAGAGAGTCACAGCCGGCAGAGGGGCTGGCTCTCTTTTCATAGGGGGCTTCTCTTTCCAGGGCCAGGCGGAGGTGATCACCTCTGCCCACAGGGACAGTCCTGGGCACAGGCAGAAGGCTGCAGCTGAAGCCCTGCTTCCCCCGACTGCCTGTATCTGAGGAACTCCCTTTCTGCTCTTGGGGGCTGGCTTGCTCACCACTGTGCACACCTCTTATGTCTGCATCTCTGTTCCCCCTCTGCCCACCCCCACCGCCGCCCCACCCGGCCCCTCGTGGTCCCACATGCAGTCCTCTCTCTCTTTCATCTAATCTCTGTCCTACAACTCACAGCCCCAGTGGCCCCTTCTCCATCTCGGAATGGTTTACCCAAAGACGTGGAACAGGTTGAAAAATTATGTTCGAGTTCCAGAAGGGCTTAGGGCAGCCCCATTTCACAGGTGCTATGTCAGCCGTGACAGGTTTGCTGGGAAATTCTGATCTCCTGTGTCCTCACACTTTGGGGGGGGGGAGGGCACCCCAAAGAAAAGAAACCCTGGGTATTTGAAAGCAACTGGCATGACAGGAGGAAGCAGAGGGAGAGGGCAGTGTCCTAAATGCGGAGCCCACAGAGCTGCGGAGAAGCAAACCCCTTTGGGATGGCTTCAGGATGTGAGCAGTGTGAATCGACCCCATCCAGCAATCTGACCGGCAGGCTGCTGTGGGGCTCATCAGTACAGACTCTCATTCGCCAAGGAGTGTGTGGGTTCGCGGGGGAGCAGTGTTGGGAGGGTGATTCTTGAAATTAAGCTCTCTTCTGGATGGAGAGGACAGACACCCGCTCAGGGCTGCTGTGGGGAATAGGGAGGAGGGGGCGGGAGGCTAGCTACCATGCATGAAATGCCATCTGCTAAGTGCTTATGTGGGTATCACACTTAACCTTCACAACTTTGTTGGGTGGGCTTCACCCCCATTACGGGAGGAAAAAAACTGGGGCTCATGGAGGTTAAGTCACTTGTTTGGAACCACTCGGCGAGGTGTGGTGCAGCCAGCCTCTGCTCTCCAAACCGCACAGGTTACCTTTTGACTGCCATCGTATGGATGCTGCTGTAGAACAGTTTAGAGTGGGGACCAAGGGACATGACATGAGGGGGTACCCAGGTCCCATGGCCTCTCTGGTGTCCTGAGCAGACAGTACCAGGTATTTCTAAGCAGCCCCCTCTTGATAATGGTATTAACACCCCATCTGTTCTTGTGTACATTGGGTCTCTGTGAATGGTCTCCAAGAGGAAATTACTAATTCCTTCCTCCATGGGAGGACCTTCTTTCAGGTTTCAGGGTCTGTGTTTATAGATGCTTGCTGGTTTAACTAATCTTATTTCCTTCTTTGCACTGGTTGCTAGGAAGCTCAGGGGAAAAAAAAAGATATTTATGTGAATTATAGCTCAGAGCACATAGCTTTTTTTTTTTTTTTAATCCATTCCACACCTGGCTTCATTTATTGTTCCTTTCTCTTTAATTTTCTCATTTACTTACTTTTGTTTTAATCTCTTATACTATGTATGTGTTTGTAGGCCCCCTTTTAGAAGCAGGCACGGCCCAGATAAATAATTAGGTCTCCCACTTGCAGAGGACGTGGCCCCAGCATCTCCTAGAGCCACCTCCCCCAGCCCCTTCTCCCCCGCAGAGGGCCTGAAGTTCTGTCCGCTGGGCGGGCTGCTGGGGCTTAGAGGCTCACGTGCACCAGCTGCTCCTGGGTGTCGTACTCCTTGGTGCAGTCTTCCCAGTGGCAGTTGGTCTCATAGATGATCACTTCGGCCTCCTGCTTACAGTCGTCCCTGTCCAGGTCTTCCTTGAGGTCAGCCAGCTGCTCCTGGGGGAGGAGCAGAGCAACCCACGTGAGCCACGTTCAGCCACCAGGCCCTGACGGAAGGTCACTACTGGCCCCGGGCGGTCTATGCCAAGGACCCTGAGCTGGTATGGGTGTGGAGACGCACGCATGCACATGCACGCACACGTGAGCACACATGCATGCACTTGTACACACACACGCGTGCACACGTACACGTATGTGCTCAGCCACTTTCTCAGCCACTTTCCCCAGCTAGCTCCCACCCATCCTTCTCCTGTTGCACAGCTGTCCTGGGGCCCCTCCTTCCTCTCCAATGCTGGCTTGTCATCACCAAAGTGTCCCATCACATCCTGGGTCAACCGACTTGGCGAGGAGAACAGGAGAAAGGAGAGCCGTGACTTTCGCTTATGTGGGTTGGTTTCCTCCGGGAGAGCCAGGGTGGACCCCCATGCGATCGCGGTGGGGGCGTTTTCGCTTATAGTCTGCACGGGGTCTGCTCCCGCCTGGAGGCAAGAGAACAGCCAACAGGCATCTGGCCTGGCCCTTCAGGCGACTCACTCTCACACTGTCCCCTCCCTCCAGGACACAGAGCACACCCCGATTCGTGCCCAGGGTTACTGGCATGGTCTCCCAGTGCCCATCCTGTCCTCCCCGCCACAGTCCTAAGACGTGGGCATCTGTGTTCTTGCATCACCGCCAGGAAAATGGGTTCAGGGAGAGGCCACCTTGCTCTCTGCAGGGCACTCAGGGAGTGACAGCCCCCATCTGCCCTGGCGTCTCGTCATCAGGACAGGGCCCACGTGTGCCCTGTTCAAGGTGGCAGAAGAAAAGCAGGGGACACAGGGGCAAAGGAAAGGCTGGGAGTGGGAGCGAAGGGGGAGGCACAGACGTGCCAGGCTGGGACAAAAGCCACAGGATGTCAAGGATTCCCCGATACCGCACTGGCTGGCTGGGGCAGGCTCAGAGCAAAGCCAGGCAAAGCGGCAGATGTTAGAACGATGGAATGCTTTCCATTTCACACTATCTACAAAACAGCAGGACTATTCTGTTTTTCCCAAGAGCCTCCGGGGGAAACATTTATAGCCCAGATTAAGGGGGCTGACCTCCCCCACAGTCAGAAGCCCCAACCCCTATGGGCTCTACAGACCACGAAGCGGAGGCTGTAGCTCGCTCGTGAGCCTCATTACTGATGCTGAGTCCATTTCTGCGAGTGGGGAAATCTGCCTCGTGACTCCCCGGGCTGGCGGCAGACTCACGCCCCTGACCGACTTTCCACTGGAGCTGCAAAGCTTCTGGTTGCTTCTCAGAGTACTTTCCAGTGAACGCACTTGCCCTGAAAAGGCAAACGATGATGTGCAGTATCCTAAGCTCACGGGCAGCGCTGGGTCCACATTAAAACGAAGTGCAGGTGCGCCCCTGCCCTGAACCTTTAGCAATGGGGGAGGTCGGTGGGGCTGTGGCCCCCTACCCCTGCTCTGCACTGTCAGAAAAACTGCAAACAGGCTTATTATTTCTGTACGTCCCTCTTATTTGAAAGAAGACTTGAAGGAGCTGCCAGGTGGACATGTGAGCGGAAGACGGCGCGGGGGCAGGGGGTGCGCTCGGGGCCTCCAGATGGGGCTGGGCATCATCCTAGCCCACGGTTTTGAGGGCTTAAACAGAGCGGGGATTCATTATGCCGCATGCCTGCCAAAGGAAAGCACGCCCATCCACCTTGCAAATGAGACAGGTCACTGAATCAGGACCCTGAGTGACATAGTGACAACCTCTTGTGATAAACAGCTTTCCTTCCACGGACACACTGGAGGAGCCAGGCCAGGCGGGAAGGAGGGCCCTGTGCTGCCTTTCTGGGTTGGAGGGGCGGGGCAGGGGCTCCCCGGGGCTCCGCGTCTGTCCTCACAGTTCCAGCATGTTTATCTCCCCTGGATATGTGCCGTCCTCATCAATTTCAACGGCCCCCGATGATGGCCGACCTCGTGGAAACCATGCATCATGCGGAGATGCTTTGGCGTCAGCGAGGGGAGAAGAATTTGTCACCAACTCCTCTGTTTGCCTGACAATAACAGGACCCAATATTTCATAAAAATTAAGTGCCCAGAGCATGCCCGATGGTTTACAGGTTTGATAAAGGATGGTCTGACAGATGTAGGGAAGACGGGGGACAGGAGGTCCCCTGCATCCTTGGTGTCAAAGCTGGTGATGCTGTAGTAACAGATGGAGACCATGCCACTCTCAGAGGCCTGGGGGGGCGGGAGGCTCGCCCACGGGGTCAGCACTCACACCAAGCCCTTCCTTTCCATGACAGGCCTTTGCTGCAAGAACTGGGAGCATCAGCCTGCCATCTCGGAGCATCTGAATAAGTGGCAGGATCTCCAAAGGGACTGGCACAGGGGTTTCAGTCCCGCAACAGACCTGGGCTCTGATTTGCTCCCTCCCTCACCTTCCTGCCAACAATCATCTTCGTTGCCTCCCCTCTGTACCGTGCTTCTCACTCCCTCAGATGTACATCGAGTCATTAGAAATTCCTACTTCATAGTGACTTTGCATCAGGCCCCGTGCAAACCCTACTGACGTGGGGCCGAATCAGCCTTGTCTCCCAAGTGCAGCCTCTCCAAAGCTTTCAGCGCAGTGCAGGCTACAGGCGACATGAGCCAGGAGTTAGGATGGGCGTCTGGGCACATGCGAGTCCTACTAGCCAAGAGAGTCAGGAAAGGTGGAAGTGGCAGTGAAAGGGGCGAGGTGGGGGGTGGAGTTCTAGGGATGGGGAGCAACTGGACAGGGGCCACAGACATTCAGGGGACAGGAGTGACTGAGTGTGACTGGGGCTTGTGTGAGGGGCTGGGGTGGGGATGGCTGCAGCCCCAGACATCCATCCATCCATCCATCCATCCATCCATCCATCCATCCGTCTGTCTATCCTTCCATCCATCTACCCATCCATCCATCCATCCACTCATCCATCCATCCATCCATCCATCCATCCATCCGTCTGTCTATCCATCCATCCATCTATCCATCCGTCCATCCATCCATCCACTCATCCATCCATCCATCTATCCATCCATCTCTCCATCCTCCCTCCATCATCCATCCATCCATCCATCCACCCATCCGCTCTTTCATGCAGAATGTGTTTGATGAGCATGTAACGCGCAGGGTGCTGGGGACACAGCTCTGGTCCTCCCTGAGCTCACGGTTTCCCCGCCCTCTCTGGTTCACTCATTCATGCAGGCAGCTGTCCGTTCGTCCATTCACCACCAGGGCCAAGGTCCCAGGTCCGCTCACCCAGCTGGAGGACGGCCAAGACAGCCAGTAGGTTACCTGCGTCAGGGTCAGCGGGGAGGCTGGCCGCAGGCCCTCTGCCTCTGTCTTGACCTTGCTGCGCTTATGAATTACGATGGGGTTCACGGTGCTGCTCACAGCCGATTCGCTGTTCTGCTTGTTCTGAGGGAGGGAGCAGGGGAGTCCGTCATGCAGGGGCAGGGCGGGGACACCCCGAGTTCTGTTTGGGCTTTACCTCAGGGATCCTCCCCACGTAGGATGGGCCAGCACTTCTGTTTGAAGTTTCAGAAGCCGGGTCTCCCAACTTGGTCCTCTGGCTGGGGGGGCGCAGCCACGAGAGAGCCCAGAGCTCGGCTTTCCAACTCCCCACCCCCCCCCCCACCTCCCTGGGAATGGAAAAGAAACCCTCTCTTTGCGAAATGCGGGACACCTTCACTCCTGTTCCAGCAGCCTCAGCTTCTCAGCCCTCTGGAGCAGGGGGTCTTGAAGCATGAGAGCAGGAGAACAGGGCTGGGCCAGCCCAGGGAGCAGGAAAGAAGGGCCTGGTCACAAGAGCTGATAGCTACTGTCTGGGGGGAGGTGCCAGGTGGACACCTGGAGCCCTGGGGTGGAGAGGGAGGGCGTCCTGGAAGAGGGGCTGCTCCAGACAGGGTGGGGTCTTGCCTTCGTCCTAGCACATGCTCACCTCTGGGCTCCGCCCTGCCAGGTGGCTGGCCTGGGAGGTGGCGCGACCTCGAGAACTGTCATCGTGAACGTTAGCCACGATCCGGGTCCCCACGGGGCTCTGCACACCCAAGCTCAGGTATGCGCACAACGACCCGATTAGGCGGCAGGCCCCGCTCTGCGGATGCGTTAGCCCAGGCTGAAAGAGCTTCCAGCGAGTTGGGTTCCAAAACGCAGTCTGGCGGAGTCCACAACTGTGTCCTTCCACGCCCCGATACTGCCTCTAAAACCATTTCCTCATGTGCAAAATGGGGCTTCATTCAGCCAAAAATAATGGCGCTTACTGTGTGCCTGGCACTGTACCAGCACGCCCTGCCACATCGAAGGCCTGCTGGAGAGCTCAAATAAGATGGCCTTTGGTCAACCTAGGCTCTAAGTACCGAGTACATTGTACTCTGTCTGCCAGAGCCTGAATTCTAGGGTTGCTCCGTCTACTTATTATGTTGATAGGACAGGCGACCACAGAATTTATAGGCCAGGCACTTGCCAGCGAAAGTGAGGGTGTCAGGACCCCGCCCAGGTCTCCTGATCCAGCATCCGGCCCTTCTGATCCAGTGGCCTATCGCCAGAAGGCATCCCACCAGCCACACCTGAGCGGGGAGTCCTTCCACAAGTTCCCGGCATGAGACGGCAATGATCAGCTCTCGTGGGGCCCCGGGAACCCGGGGACCCACCTACCTGGGTGGCGTCGCTCAGACAGGTGGCGCTGCCACTGAGCTGGGTGGGCGTGGCATTGATGGAGGCGAGGGCCATGGGCTGCTGCGCCAGGAAGGTGGGCGAGGGCTGGATCAAGGGCGGGGTGTGTCCGAAGGCTGAGCCCAGGCCCCTCTGCTGGCTCAGGATCTGCTGGTAGGCCACCGGGTTGATGGGGTGGGGGAAGGTGAAGGCTGGGCTGCAAAGGAGAGCAGGCAAGTCACGGAACAGAGTTGCGGGGGGCGGAGGCTGTTTGGTCAAGACTTCCTGCGCAGAGAGGACCCTGCCAGGGATCGGGAGGGGCATGTTGCTTATCTTGCGGTCAGCATGGCTTTACCTGGCTCAAGAGCCACCACTGTTTGCCATCTCAGGCCTCACGGGCTGTGCTCGCCTGCAGGCCCCGCCCCATGACCCAGCCTTCACCCCAGGGAGGAGCCAGGCGCCATCTCAGGCCTACACCCCAGCCCTTCACCTCTCTGACGCCTGAGAGGCATCCCTGACCATCTGAGCCCACTGGGCCCTGAGGCCGCTTCTGATGCCCGCTTGTCCAGGACATGTGCCCTGGGCCCTGCAGCTCGCATCACCCCCACTCTTCTTTCACTTCTGCTGCACCTCTAGGTTCTTTTATGCCATCTGCATATGAGCCCTCTCTCCAGAACACGATACTGCGGAAATAATGCTGACCTCCAAGGCCAAGCCATATAAGACATGTGGCTTGGGTGGCTCGGTCAGTTGAACGTCCAACTCTCGATCTCGGCTCAGGTCATGATCTCAAAGTTCATGGTATGGAGCCCCTCATCGGGCTTGAGATTCTCTCTCTCTATCTCTCAAAATAAGTACATAACTTAAAAAGAAAAAGACATGTGGCTTCCTCCTTACTCTCTCCTGCATCAGTCACTCGGGGTGGGGGTGGGGGAGCCAGCCGCCATGCCGTGAGGAAGCTCAAGCAGCCTTATAGAGAGACTCCCGTAACGTGAAATAAAGGCAAGTCTTCAGGTGCCTTACAGCCCTGGCCGACACCTTCAGCGCAGGCTCGTGAGACCCAGCGCCAAGCCAGTCTCATTTTCTTGACCCCAAGAAACAGTTCGAGATGGTCCATGCTCGTTGTTGCTTTAAACAGCTAAGGTTCGGAGTAATTTGTCTGGTAAAAAAAGACAGCCAACATCCTTGTTACCACTTCGATCTCTGCACGTCCCAGGGCCAGGCTCTCCTGACATTCCTCACACCTCCTGGCCTCCCTGAGGAGGGTTGCGGGGAGGAAATGAGTTGAGTCAAGGTGGTTGGGTCTGAGTCCTTAGAACAGCCATGGGCTGCACGGTGGAGTGGGGGTGGGGTGGGGACAAGGGCGAATGGTGTGAGGTCTGGGTGTGCCGTGCTGTGACCACAGCGGGAAGCTGGCTGCCTGCTCGGAGACCTGGCATGGCCCAAGTCGGCGTCACAACCTGTGCCACCAATGGCTGTGGCTGCCATAAAACCTTGGGTTTTATGGTTGACTCTTTCGTGCCAGGCCCAGTAAACATACTTTTCACATCAGAGAGTGGGTTTGGGGGATGAGCGGACACAGGAAGACATACTCGAATGTTAGCATGTTGCGGCATCATCGTGGTCGGTGTGGAATTCAGGGAGCGGTTGCAAGCACACCGACTCACAAATGCAACGTGTCCTGTCTTTCTCCACGGGTCGAAAGCATGGACCCTCCCCCACGTGGCCCCCAGCCCACCTTCTGGGGCTCGGCCACCCACATGCCGGCTGGGCTCACCTGAGAGTGCCTGCTGACAGGTGGCCGTAGGAGCCGCTGGCCGCCGAGCTGCTGCGGGAGTTGTTGATGTAGGCCACCAGCGAGTTGGGTGACGTCCGGATCATCCGCTGCAGATCCAGGCTGGCGTCTGACAGCGGGGAGATGGACAGCGCCCGCTTGCGGCTCAGGCGGGGGGTCACCCGTGGGCTGGAGAAGCGCGACACTGTGGGGACAGCCAACCCCAGGCATCACTGTGCTTGTAGGGGGTAGAATTGGGGAAGGGGGACTGGTGGGGGGGGGGGACAGGGGTAAGAGCCTTTGAGGACGGTGTAATGAGAACCACAGCTGGGGGCTCTTGGGCAAGGGCCCTGGCCTCTCTCCAACTCAGTCTGCTTATCTATAGAATGGGATGGATCCATGCATGACATGGTGGGGGTGTGAGAAACACAGGTCAGATGCTTGGGGGAGAGAATATGTTCGCTGAACGTAAGTTAGTGCCTTTACTATTAGTTTTGCAGGGAGCAGGGCTGGATTCAGCAACGCTTAAGGCGTAGCAGCTAAGTGTTGAAGAGCTTGGTGGCCACGAGTTGAACCCACCTGTGAAGCTAGCGCGAGGTCGAGAAACAGGCACGGCCAGCGTCCTTCCAGACCCACCCCAAGGGCAGCCACTACCCTGGCTTCCGGAGTTGCCTGAGGCTTCAAGAACCTGTCACCTTAAACACTCTTCATGCACAGGCACGCACCCCAGCCACCACCCCACCGCTCTCTCTGACGGCCCCTTGCATAAGCTCTCACCCCTCACCGGTAAGGAACTGCGGGAAGACAGCCTGAACCAGAGGGGGGGCTCCTTGACCCTGGGGTCACACTCTCCCGCCTGGCTCCAGACTGCGCCCCCGCTCCCCAGTCAGGGTTCTGGCTCTCTCCTCTGGACAAACAATGGTCTAGAATAAACGACCTGCCAGTGTCACCGGGCAACTCCCACATGCTCTGTGTCTGCCCTTTCCAGATCCTCCCTGAGCCCTGGGTTCCTCTCTGTGCAAGGGTCTCCTGGATCTGGCCCCTGGGGCTGTGGTGAGGAGTACATTACACGGCAGGGGCACCTAAACGCTTTGCCATGCCCCTGCATTTCTGGATATCGGCACTGACACCTCTTTCTGTGCCCCTTCGGGGGCCTCCAGGTTCCCTTTGGGCTGGAGGGGTTGCCTGTAGACAGCTCCAGAGGCTATCGGTGCACACCTCTGCTACACGCGGCCTGCCTCCATGCCTGTGCTCGGCCGTTCCTGGGCTCGTGATGCCCGCCTTCTTCCCTTCTGTCCGCTCAGAGCTGCTCAGACCCCACAGGTGCTCCTCCTCCAGGGAGGCGGCAGGTTGCCCTGGCTGCAGGGTTGGTGTGTTGGTGCCTTGTCCCCACAGCTGTGGGGGCACTAAGGGCAGGGCTGATGGCCTGGGGATCTCTGAGCCCCCATCCCCAGTGCCGGCCAGCCCCTGAGAAGGTTCGGGGCCTATTTGGCCTGTGTGAGTGCATAGAGCCCCCCAGCTACCAACTGCAGAAGCCTCAGCAGAGCCCCTGCCCACCACCTCATGCCCCCAGGTCCCCTGCTGGGCCCTGGGGGCACCCATGCCCGGCGCTCCTCCGACCCCTCGCCCTTGGTAAACCCGGGAAGCCCCTTTCTTCCTGGGCCACTGGGATAAACAGCCTCTGACGGGAGTTGGCCTGATGCCTTTCCATTGTTACCTCCTTCATGACTGAGTCTGCCCTCAAAGCCCCCTGCAGGTTCCCTTCCTCTCTCCCTCCTCCTATTCCCCCAGCCCACTGCTAGCCTGGGTCATCCCAGGGCCCTTAGCTAATTGCTGTCCCATCCACATTCCTCACTGCAGCCCGAGAGAGCTTTTTAATGTGTAAATTGAATCATGTCCCTGTGCCCCCCTGCCCTAACCTTTCCAAAGCTCCCAGTACTATTAGGAAAAAAGCCCAAATGCTCAGGGTGGCTTTTGCTTGGAGGCCCTGTGGGTGCCCCCTGCCCACCTCTCCGGCTTCATCCTGCCCACCTCCCAGGCTCTGCTCCAGCCACCTCTCAGCTCCCTACTCCTGTCACCTGTCTTCCAGCACAGGGCCTTTGCACATGCCCATTCCTCTGCCTGAAGTGCTCTTCCTTCCTCTCTGTGCTCAGACCTCCACGGGTTATCACTCTCCCAGGGAGAGCACCCTGACATCCTCTGGTTGGGAAGTTACCCCCATCCCAAATGGGGGGGGGTCACATTGTCAAGTCCGCATGCACCGGTGTGGTTATCTGATTGCTTCTGCCCCTCCCACCTTTATGCATCAGGGACTTGGGTCCTTTCCCCCCACCGTTATATGCATACACATACACATATGCATCCATTCGGTGGTGAGCCCGCGTGGAAGATGGCAAATGTTGAGCCGTGGGCACAGGTGAGGGACAGCAGAATCACAGCCAGGGCAAGTCAATATTTATGCACTGCCCTGAAGGTGCTGGGTACTGTTCTGAGCACTCCAAGGTATTAAGTTGTTTAATCTTTAAAGTATTCAATAGTGTCAACTGCCCTAGAAGGAAGGAAGTATTACCACTGTCGTTTTACGAATGACAGAGGCCATGCAGCCAGGGGAAGTGCAGAAGTAGACTTGGAAGTCAGGCAGTTGGCCACCAAAGCACTCAGCACACCGCCTCCACCCAGGGTAGAGAGAAGACGCACCTTGCGGGGAAGGATGTGCTTGGAGTTGGGGGCTGGGGCGGTCAGATGCACATACACACCATGTGGGAACACACAGCTGGGCCACACCAAACCCAACACTTAGTGCTTGGAGCACATCACCCAGCCTCCTGAGCCTCTCTTTGCCCATCTGTACAATGGGGGCGGTACAGCTTGGCTTGCAGAGTTATCTCGAGGACACCAGCAAACCACCGAAGTGCTGAAAGCCCAGCAGACCTTCTAAAACGAAACTGAGAATTAACGTCGCTTCTTCAGGGGCGAGGAGGACAGCTTTGATGGGCAGGATGAGCGTAAAGCTAATACTGGAGTGAGGGACAGCAAGTCTAGAAAACACAGTCGGGCCACACAGCAGTACGTCTGTCACTACAGCATTCACTCATCTGTCCATTCATCTGGGCTCCTCTAGGCTTCTTTGTTCTTATTTACTGAGTTCACTCCCCGTCGGTCCCCACTTCCAAGGAAAATCAAAGATGCAAACGTGAATCCTCCCAAAGAGTCCTGTCACTTACGAACCGAGTGGCAAATGGAGAGACACGAGGTGGGAGGGACAATCCAACATCCTGTAGACTAAGAAATACACTCATCCTTCTAATGCATGTTCTAAAAAAAGACTTTGCTGCTAATATTTGGATTCCCACCCTCTCACGTGCCCCTAACAAGAGGAAACAGGGCAAATCTGACAGTGATATTCATCTCTGTTATTCCCACCCCTCGAGGGAAATATGTTTATTAATGTGCCTCTTCCCTTGATAAATTACTAAATAGAAAGAAAATCCTGGCACTCATTTCCTGTGGCTTCTCCTGTGATTTATGACCGGGGACTGGCAGAGCTGTTGCGTCCATTCATCTGTGGATGAGCCTGCGCCGATTTCTGTCAGCCGCCGGGGGGGACCGGACACCAGCCTGCCCTCACCCGGGCAGACGCCCCATGCTACCCACTCCTGCTGCCGCTTGCATCTGGCTCCTGTTTCAGCCACTACATCTTTCTTTTGCTCATTCGTGTGTTAGTTCACTCACCCATCAGAGCCTTGTCGTGGTGACGGTATGGCAGGCATCGGGCTGGACGCTTTCGGGGATTGCAAGCAAGGGGGGGGGGGACCCTCAGCCCTGCCCTCCTGTGAAGCTCACTGTCCAGGTGAGAGAAGAAAATGGTGCCCAGAGCACTGGGCAGGGCTCCTGGGATTACCAGGTAACTCCAGAGTGTTTGGGGACATCGCTGCTTTCCCTGGGGGCAGCCGGGAAGGGCAGGAAGTTTGAGAACGGGCCCCGGGTGCAGGCAGACCATGTTCTGACCCTGCTTGCCTGCTCTGATCTGGGCGACTTTGGGCGAGGCTCTGAACCTCCCTGAGCTGCTTCCTCACCTGGAAGATGGGCCAACAGTATCCACCTCTGGGTTGCTATGGGCTTGTGACCAGCATGTCACCCGAGCTCTGGGGGGGGGGGGGGTGTCCCAAGGACCCAGGAACCTGGAATGAGGGCGGCAGGAGGAAGCAGGGGCTGGCTCCCCAGGACGTGGGCGGGGCAGGTGGGGCACCAGCAGTGGAGAGAGCTGTGTCCCAGCACCACCTCCCAGGAGGCCTTTCTGTGCCAGATGCTGTCCTGAGCGTGGGACTGGGACACGCCCCCCCTGGCGGTGGCAGGACACAGCCTCGTGGCCTGGCTCGTGGGCCCTGGGTCCTCACCGGTTAGGGAGCATCCCTGCACAGCCCAGCCCCGCCCACATACCTTCTGGACTCACTGAGGAAATGCTCTAAGGAAACCCAACTGGAGGACCTCAACCTGCCCCACACTTAGCCGTCCGCAGCCCCCTCACCCCCTCTTATGGGGGGATTGAAAACACCTCGGCTTTGGAGCCCAGAGGCTTGGGGTTGAGACTGGCCGGCACCATTTCCTAGTTCTGTGATGTAGACAAATTTAGGGCTCAGGCTCAGGCTCAGGGCCTCGGCTTCCTCGCCTGTAAAGTGACTTCGTGTCTGTGCCGGTTCACCAGGTGACCCACATACACTACCTAGCCCGGGTCTGCACACAGCAGTCCTGCCCCTCGGGGAACCTGTGGCCTGCTCTCCTCTGCCTCAGTCTCCCTCCTGTCTGCAGGCTGGGCACGGACTCCCGGCCCGACTGGGGCCTCCGGCAGTCCCTCCAGCGGCTCCTCCTGCCTCTCTGTGGTGTGATCAATGTAATTGGTCTCTGAAAACCCCCTTGGACCCGCAGGCAGCATAAAGAACGGGCGTCAGAACGGAGGTGACATCCAAGTCAAATTAGTGTCAATATGACAATAAAATATACAGCTCGGAGGAAATATGGGCTGTAAACAGACAACATTTCAATCGGAAACATTTCAATCTTCTCAGTGTGGTGGGAGGAGGGGGTGGGTTGTGGCGGCTCCCACACTGCCGTGCAATCACCAATATTCAACAGCATAAAACAAGAACATTCCATTTTAAGGCCCCGGTGACAACCGGTGAATTCCCCGCCCTCCGGAGAACCAGT